TTCACCCTTTCCAGCATCTTTGTAAGTAAGTGAATCCATTATAAGGTCCTGACATGTTAAAATCGTTGACGATACTACACCATCATCCACATATTCAATCTCACTTATTTGTTTCCTCGAACAAACCGGACAATAAGTAGTGTTACCTATTAACACATTCCGGAATCCAAGTTCCCGGTTGCGAACCAATTGCTCAATCGATAGACATTTACGGTTAGCCATTTTACACAGACTGACTTTGCGCGATCCCCATCAGTATTTATATTTTCGTTCCCCACTCAACAATAGTAAAAAATGCAATGTTTGCGAAAACATGTCGCAACATGTTTCGCGATGACATCATCATTTTAACACGTGCAAAAGTGCACCCCTTACAAAAAAAGACGCATCCGGTGATGACATCAATGTAATCTAATACAGTAAAATGCAACATTCGCAAATATATATAACTGCTTTGTCAGCGTAATATAAGAAATTTTTTTAAGGACATATTCGGGGATGACATCATCAATGTAACACGTGCAAAAGTGCACCCCTTGCAATAAAAGACCCATCCGGTGATGACATTAATGTAATCATACACCGCAAATTACAGCGTCAGCAAAATTGCAAATTTTAATATGACCTTGTCAGCGTAATATAAGAAATTGTTTCGAGGACATTAACATATTTTGGCGATGACATCATCATCAATGTAATATGATACAATACCTGCAAAAAAATGCAGCAATTGCAATTTCATCAAAGTATCTTCTTTGTTAGCGTTATTTAAGAAATTTTTCAAGGACGTGATATGACATGTCACAACATGTTCGAGCGGTGATCATCAATGTAATGTCACGTGACCAAGTAAATGATGTAAAAATAACAAGATTTAGGTGCACCACGCTATTAGTCAATCTAACAGCATAAGTGACAACATGGAGCGTGATTTGATTGAGCAAGCTACCCTGCTTAATACAAGAGAAGAGTATGTCGCGTGGGAACAACGTTGGGACGAATTAATAGAATCTCAGGAGGAACAGAGCCGTATCAAACGCCCGCGATTATCAATTGGTAATAGACAATCAGTGATCGTATGTATCGCGCGGCTTAAAAGCTTGAAGGATTCGGTGCGCGGACGATTCGTGCACGTAGGTGCAGGACATGGACTTCGATGGCGTGAAATCGAAACGGCGTTCAAAAGTCGTATTCTAATGGCCGCGGTAATAAACACCAATTATATCGAACCTCGTCGATTCCTCGAAGACGCGAGTGAAATTGTGCTCGAGCGTGTACAGTGTATCATGCAGAGATAAGACGCTATAAAAATAAACACTGTTTTTAATGGTGAGTTCGTGGCTGGTGATAAACGCGCGAACAAGAGTATCGCCACCCGGAACTATGAACTACACCGATACACTGATTTGCGCGAGTGGTACGTAACGCGCGTCGTTGAGCTTATCCTAGCATCTTTGTAAGAGTTCCAGGAACGTGATAGCGGATGGGCACTGTCGCGTACACTAAATTTGGCGGTGAACGCGAATAAACTAAATCCTTTGCGTGCGGGATGTCACATCAAACTCCCGCGAGAAATTATGAAGAGAGCGGTGATCAACGTGCAATCCACGGACAATGCGTGTTCTGCGTGGTCGGTGGTTGCCGCTCTGCATCCAGCTCAAAAACATGTGGAGCGAGAGTCATCATATCCACACTATTCCAAAGTTCTAAATCTCGCGGACATCGAATTTCCGATGACACTGAGCCAGAATAAGAAATTTGAAGCACTAAATGACATTTCCATCAACGTCTACGCCATCGAGAAGCGGATTGTGCCGATACGACTCACCGATCGAAAGAGGAGCAAGCACGTAAACCTCTTGTACGTGGAGGACGATAGCGTGGGACACTTTGCACTCATCAAAGATTTATCTCGATTAGTCAACTCACAAATCAATAAAAAGGAGCATAAGAAATATTTCTGCGATAGGTATGTAATAATAATAATAATAATGATAATGATAATGATAATGATGATAATAGTAATAATACTAATAATAATAATTGTTTCCAGATGCCTCCACTACTTTAGCACGAGCGCAAAACTGGAGATCCATACTGAGGACTGTGGGAAACTAAACGACTGTGCGATAAGGCTGCCGAGCGAAGAAGACAAATTGCTGAGCTTCCACAACCACTGCAGGAAAGAGCGCGTCCCGTTCGCAGTCTACGCAGATCTTGAGTGTGCGTTGGAGAAAACATATAAGGATCCAACATCAGCTACGCATACGTACCAACATCACAACGTCTTCAATATCGGGTATTACGTGCACTGCTCCTACGACAGCTCACTGTCAGATTATCGGTTTCGCCGCGACAAAGACTATATAGCGTGGTTCGCGAAAGAATTAAAAAATTTGGCGCATAGTGTACATCTGTAATTTCAGCTAATGTTCCTATGGCAGATTTCACGTGCGACGACTGGGAAAAATTTAACAGCGCCTCGCACTGTCAGGTGTGCGAGAAATCGTTCACATCGGACGATACGCGGGTACGCGATCACTGTCATCTCACCGGGCGATACAGAGGTCCCGCGCACTCAAATTGCAATCTAAATTAGAGAGATTCGCGTTGCATACCTGTAGTCTTTCATAACTTATCCGGTTATTACGCTCATTTTATTATCAAGGAAGTTGCAACCGCGTATGAAGGACGCGTAGATCTCCTACCAATAACTAAAGAAAAATATATATCTTTTACTAAACATGTCGATAATACAAAAATTGATCAAAAAAGTTGTGTGCAATTACGTTTCATATATTCATATTGATTTCTCGCTTCTAGTTTGGACAAATTGTCATCTTTTCTTAGCAAGGATAAGCTGAGGGTACTGCGACGCGAATTTTCTAATTTATCAGAAGAAAATTTTAATCTTTTGACTCGAAAGGGCGTTTTTCCGTACGAGTACATTGACTGCAGTGAAAAATTGAACGAATTATGCTTGCCATCTCGTGAGTCATTTTACAGCTCATTGACGGACAGCACGGTATCTGAGAGTGATTACGAGCACGCCGTCAACGTGTAGCAGCGGTTCTCCATCCAAACGCTCGGCGAATATAGCGACCTGTATCTAAAAACAGATGTATTGTTGTTGGCCGACGTCTTTGAAAATTTTCGCGACAGTTGCATCGCGAGTTACGGGCTTGACCCCGCGTACTATTACACCTTACCTGGCTTCACATGGGATGCCATATTAAAGCATACTGGTGTAAAATTTGAACTGTTGACAGACATCGACATGGTCATGTTTGTCGAGCGCGGTATACGCGGTGGTCTGAGCCAGTGTACAAATAGGTACGCGCGAGTCAACAATAAATACATGCCGTCGTACGATCCACCGTCATCGTACTTGATGTACTATGACGTCAACAACCTGTATGGCTGGGCAATGTGTTAACCATTGCCCTACGCCGATTTTCGATGGGTCGACGTTATTTCGATTTTACGACTATTGCGTCAGATTCGCCGACAGGCTATATTCTCGAGTTGGATTTGGAGTACCCGCAACATCTTCATGACGCGCACACTGACCTACCGTTCTGTCCGACGCGCGAGAAACTACCCGGCAAGCGCGATGACAAGTTCCTCGCAACATTATGCGATAAACAGCGTTATGTCATACATTATCGCAACCTGCAGCAGTGTACTCGTCACGGCCTCCGTATTGCAAAGATTCACCGTATACTGCAA